GGGGGGGGGGGGGGGGGGGGGGGGGGGGGGGGGGGAGGGGAGGAATCTACGAACCCACTGCTTACGAGAACGCAAGGAAGAGACAAAGGGCCTCCTGAGAACAAAACGAGCATAGGTACCTGTTACAAAAGACTGTAATGCAGAGGCAGTTTGATCAGATGGACTGAGGAAAGGAAGTGATGAGGAGCTCGAAGACGGGCAGCTCGTCGTAGCCAATTCAAGATGTGTTGCGCTTGTAGAGGGCACTACGCCATCATTATGTGTTGTAACCATTCGCCGATGCAGACCGGAAGCACATGATTCCTCGGCCTGGCCAACTGCTCTCGCTGACTGTTTTTGTTGTTGTTGTTGTTGCTGCTGCTGCTGCTGTTGTTGTTGTTGTGGAACACTGACTCGCTGCTAAGAAAAAAGAAATGCATAAATGAAATGAACAGCAACAATTCAGTAAGCGAAATACCTCACTATCACTTAAAGCAGCAGCATGTCGGGCCCTTGTCAAATACTACTTCTGTCTGGGAAAGCCCTGAACTCATACTCCGTTCAGGAGACGAAACAAACATCTGCACTGTCAGAAGCGACGATCAGTCAAAGCAACTGGAAATGCTTCCAGATGCATAGCTGGAGAGACAGACAGTGAATCAGAGGCGCTGTACCATTCGTAGCAGAAGACTAGGTGAAAGGAAGAATGCCGAAGACACTGCGAGAAAAACTTTCAAACATGCAGTTTTACCCACCATGATCTCATAACAATGCACACAGAGGTCTAGCAGTTGGATCAGGCGCACAATGCAACACTGCAATAATAGTCCAGACGAACTTCGCACCGAAAATACATGTCACCAACATGCATTCATTTACACATTACAGATTTCTGCTAGTACTTTGACATCATCTGTTTAAATCCATTCGCCAATGATCAGTAAACCCATGGCTGTGATACCGATAACTTCTTCAGCCGCGCCGCGAGAGATCATGGGATTTTTTCGGCGAGGGAACAGCAGGAAAGCAAGGGTCACGGTGGAAAAAGACTGGAAGAGAATGATACGCAGTGCCCCGAGGAAGCGTCTAAGCCAGAGACGTCAGGGTAAGACCGCGGGAAGTAATGAAGTAACAGGGAAATTCAAAAACTTGACATTAGTCGTACGTTCAAAACTACGGAAAAAAAACCTGAGTGTGAAGAGAAAAACGAACTGATCGAGGGGTCGTCGCACGGTTTTCTTTTTTACGAATTCTCGAATAAGTAGGTATTTCCTTGTCGTCCTCCGTGTCACTCCACTTTTCCTGGGCAGTTTCGACGCCGTTTGCTCGCCCCCCACTCTCACACAATCGCAAATCAACGTGCTCAGCGCGCGTGTCTTCTGATTCACGCAGCAACAAGCGCAATCTTTCGGGCACTGCAAAATGAAAGCAAAATATGGCTGGAAGCCATAACGCCATAAACTATCACTAATTCAAGTGCAAGCGCTCTACAGAATTACGGGCTTGTGCGGGCAAAATGAGTCGCTTTGACGGATCAGCGTGAAACACGAAAGAATGCGAATAAATTTACCGTATGGGACTTTAGGAAGAGCAACCATGTGACACAGCTTAGCATGTTCATCACGAAGCCTCGCATTGTGAGCATTGGCCAGTTCTAACAAATTATTCGCAGCATTCATTTCGGCATTTTCTTCGCGAAAAGGAATCTGAAAATGCGCAGAAAATGTTACTGCAAAAAAGGGAGACTGGACGGGAAATGTCAGAACAATACGAAATCACTGTACGCTTTTTTTTTTCATCCGCAAAAAAAGGAAGGGAGAGGGGGGTGTTGCAAGAGCAGCTGACAGGAGCAAAAAAGAAATGAAGATAGCCGACCCATCTCCACATCCCGACTGCCTTATGCTCTCACATGGTGTGCCTTGGGACCTGAGTCTCCTTCGCAGTATAAAAGCGATGTGGCTAGAAATGAAAGGTAACAGTTCGAGAATATTACTAATTGGTATGTGGCGGCTGCTGCCGTTGTATGTGCGTGTCCGGTTTCAATTCATTTTTAAAATTTTAAACTTTATTTTATTATATTTGAAATCCTCGCAGAAATAGCACGTACACATTTTCAAAAAAAATACATTAGCATTTTTGAAAAAGTCATTCGTGCAAAGAAGAGTTAAATGATCCGTGTTTTTGGTCTATAAAATTTGACTCCGTGAATAAGACTGAAATTCTGAGGAAATAATTTTCAATTTTGTACATGGCCATAAACCTCGAATCAAATTTCAGACATTTTGTTTCTCAGTTTTCATGGCTTCGGATCGATCCAGACCAAACTTACAACTACAGAAGCTGAAAGAAAAGGAAAAGCTGTGGTTCCAGGCTTCTGAGGCTTTAATTGATGGAGAAATTCAATTAAACAATCCAAAATTCGCGTGACTTTGGCCAAACTCCGGAGCTTAATCTTACTTTTTCAGTAGGCGGCAGAGAAAAATATAACACTGCATTTACAGTTATCTCACTCCTAAACACCTGAATAATTCAAAATGAACTCTTAAAACAGACTG